CTTAGCACACTTTCCTCAAGGGGAGGAGGAAGTAAATTCCCTCCACTTAAGTCCAGGCAGGCGCTTTATTATAGGAGAAATGATATTGCCTGTCAAGGCAAAGCCATGGAAGGGGTTACAGCTTCTGCAATGGCCTCTTAGGGTGTTTGTTCTTGGAACCCAAGCACATACCATGAGGAAGTCTAAGGAGGCCATGGCAGATATGTACGATGGGATTTGTTGGTTCGTTTAAAGTTTATTTTGTTTGAGACAGTGTCTCACACTATAGCCTAGAACTCACTATGTTGCCCAAACTGGCCTCCCCTGCCTCATCCTCCTAGGTGCTAGGATTATACATTTGAGCCACCGCACCTGGCCCAAGATTGGTTCTTATACACAGATCCTACTATAGTGTCCAGTCAAGATGCCCCAGCATAAATTACTTGGAACAGCAGCAGGTTACCCCTGTTGAGTTCTCCTAGAATTGCAGATTTATAAGCAAAATAAATGGCTGAAGTATTTTGTTTTCTTTTGTTTTGGTTGTTTAACTAAGTGTTAAGGTTGGTTTATTACGTAGCAATCAATAACCAGAAGAGACACTGACAGTTGGGAGTGGGGTGCTCTATTAGAAAATCTAAAACATGTGGTGTTAACTTGTGACTGGTCAGCAGGCAGAAGCTGGGGAACCTGAAAACAAGTGACTACGATAGCCTAAAAGCCCAAGGAGAGAATCTGTGGGGGCCTAAAGAGCTGTGTGAAAGTAACTGGTAAAGGCTTGAAAGTAAGAACTTATTCCTGGAAGCTGGGAGCAGGGGTTCTTCTCTCCACAGTCTTCTTCGAAGAGCCACTCAGAATATTCACAAAGAACAAGTCTGAGCACACACTTCAATGATAGCTTCCCATAGGCCAGGAAGAGAGTCCGAATCAGACACCTGGTAGTGCTTGTGCCCCAGGTTTCCAGAGTACAAAATGGTAACAAAATAAAAAGGGATACAGTGTCCATTGCATGGGTGTGGTGGGGCAGGGGGATGCACATTACCAGAATGCAGCAGGTAATTTACCCAGAAACAGGTGCCTCACAGAAGGAAAAATGGTCCCATGCCATAGCTTTAGGTAAACTTCAAGTTCAACTCTTGCCAGTATCTATCTGTCTAGACCCCATCTCCATCTCCTAATAAGCCTTGATACCAGTGATTCTCTGTGGGCTGGAGATATAACTCAGAGTAGTTACTTTGCATGTGCAATGGCCTGGGTTCAGTTCCTAGCACAGAAAAAGATAAAGGTGGTCCTCCATTTCCAGTCTCAGCTGATACAATGTGGCAGAAACTTGGTCCTTACAAAATGAACCCTGCTAGACTTGTAGAATTATGAGTAAAATAAATTGCTGATATCAGTGCCAGCATAGTGTCTTGTTAATAGCAACTGATATACAACTCAAGCATTATCTCTTTATAAACTGTTCCTTAAGCTCTAGGTGAAGTTAACTGCTCTTTCATTCTGCTTCCAAAGCAGTCTTTGTGAATCATCATATTATTACTTACTATATAATCTAATAAATGTCACTGTTCACTCATCAGCCACATTATAAGTTCAGGATTGGATTATTTAGGATTCTAACTCTCCAAATATATTACATCCCAAACTCTGAAACTGTGATCAAACATGCAAGAAATTCTCAGTATGTATACCCCAAGTGTGTCAGCTTCTATTTTAACCTTTGTCTTTCTACCCAGTATTCTGAAATTTCTCTTTTGTCCCCATTTCTCATTCACTAAAACTTTCTTCACCTGAATCAGATTTGTTATGACATCCATCCACTGAGCTTTAAATTTTGAATTCGTATATTGTATTATTTTCCTCAGTTCTAGAAGCTTCTTATTCCTCTCAAATATACAAAGTGATTTCTTTAAAGCCTCCATTTCCCTGAAATTGCCTCAGAACTTTTTTTTTTTGCTATATCATGGTCATTTTATACTCCATATCTGACAATTCCAATATATGAATTCTTTCTAGGTATGTATCTATTTGTCCATGTTTCTATGGGTTATATTGGGGCTCCCTCTCCCACAGGTTTAATTATTTTCAAGTTATAATTTCAATAGGAAAATTACTTGAAGGTATTACTTAGGTTACAATTGTTTTGGCTTGGTACCTGAAGGTATTGCTTTTAACTAAATTCATTTATTTTTTGTCTATATAATTTGAATTTGGGGTACTAATCTATATAAAGGGCTACTTTGTAGTATTAATTTAGCAGGACTCTTTTTCTCCTGTTTTGCTCACAACAAATCATCTTTCTTTGAAGACTTTGGGTGTGTGATATGAGGCACGGTTGTCTCTAATTACTTTAAAGGTACAGCCCTTGGAATCCAAGTCTATGGGAGGAGTTTATATTAGAATCCTCATGATAGACAGGCACAGGGGGATGTTCTCTGTGTCTAAATTCCCCTCTTTACACACCAAAGCTCAACAGCAGGTTCAGCAAATTCCTTAGGACAATATGGCTCTACTGCTCTACTGGGTCCCCCCGCCCCTGACATCCGTATTTAGATCTCATTATTTCTATTAATGCACTGATTAAAAAGGGGGCTCCGAATTTAGATGTGATTCCGTTTATATTATTTTTCTGTCAGCATTGATGCTTTTAAGAAGTTTTCCTTCTCAATATTTTTTATTCAGCATTGCTGCTTTCAGCAGGAATCAACTGGAGCCTAATCAATTGTCACCTGGGCACAGTCTTGATCATGCCAGGGTCCGTAAGCATTCAGAATGCTGCTGGCACATCAAGGGAATTTATTAGATTTTGACTGATGGATAAACTGAAGGCATCCTTCCACTCATCCATCCTTTCCTCCATCGCTCCTGACATCCCTCTATGCCTATGCCCTAGTTAAAACTCCTTTACTGTTTTACACAAGCATTCTTTCCATCTTCCTCTGTCTATGGCTCATTCCCCTTGAATCCACTGAGTCCCCTGTTACCTTTCTTATGGAAAAGGTTGTATTTTCACCCACTTCCATTGTTTGGGATGAGCATACATGTTCCCTATGATGGTGTATGAATTACTCACTAGGCTACCTGCATCTAACAATCTGCTGCTCATGTGATCTTTATGATACCTCTATATTTTTTCTGATTTTTTTATTAGCATATGAGGACTTCCATCTGACCTCCACACTTCTTAAGAGTTAGTTCTTTGCTCCCAATTTCTACTTCACCTCATTCCCTGACATAAGGTATCACTACAGCAAGTTGGACCACTCAAGGCAAAGCCCAGATCCATCTCTTATTAACATGTAATCTTGTAAGGCTACCTAATGTTTCAATACCTTAGTTTCTTCATCTTTTATTTATTTATTGAATGTGTATGAGCGTTATGCTGCTTGTATGTAAGTGCACCTCTGTCATGCAATGTCCATGGAGGTCAGAAAAGGGCATTGGGACCCCTTGGAACTAGAATTACTGATGCTTGTTTGCTACCACGTGGGTTCTGGGATTTGACCTGGATCCTCTGCAAGAGCATCCAGTACTTTTAACTGCTGAGCATCTCTCTAACCCGAATTTCCTCATCTTTAAAGTGGGGATAATATTAATATCTCAGAGCATCATAAGAATTACATTAAATAATACATACAAAACACATAGAATGCATAATAAATACTTCATACATTTTAACTGTTTTCATCACTATGTTTTTACCTTATCCAAAATGTCTTTCTTCCATATATTTATGACCATACAATGCCCATGCCTCAGTACTGCTCAAGGCCCATTTGATCATCTCTGTGAAGTTGTATAACCTGTTATCTCTGATGGCTTTTCTGAGCTTTACACCAACCCTTCTCTAACTCTTCCTTTTAGCCAGTGCCTTTTCACCCCACACATTGGGGCCTGAATCAGGAGCCTTGCACATACTTGAAAAGCACTCTACTCTGAAGTAGACCCCCAGTCCCATGCAGATATGAATCCAGTTGACAGTATAACAGATGTATCTGTACTGATATTCCCTTCTTCTCGTCTCTGACTAAGGAACTGAGTTTTCTCAGATTATCTCATAACTTCTATCCCTCTCTTCTTTCTTTTGATTCTTTATCTTCAATATCTTGCTCCATCAGAAAATTCTCCCAACCTCTTAACTTTACTCATACTCATCCTAAAATGAATGAGTAAATCCCTCTCTTGCTTGCCTTCCTACTGTGTTATCATATTTGAAGAGTCTCCTGTATTTTCCACAGTCATTTTCTTCTTTCTTATTTCCTAGGGTCTTATTGTTTGTTTCCATTCAAAAATAAGCAGCAATAGAGTCCCAGCCCTCCTCCTACCCCAAAGAGCCTTTCTTTTGAACTTTCCTATAACCCTTTATAACTGAATATACTAATTATTCACTCGAATCTCTCCTCCTGCATTCTTCTTCTTAAAGTGTTTGGTAAAATGACAAAGCACTAATACAATGGCAGCAAAAAAAAAAAATCTACATTCAGTCACAGGCCCAACCATTTATTTGTCTTAAATAAGACACAGCTCTACTTTCCTTAGCAGTAAAATGGGGACAATATTTTTGTCTTGCCTTGCTCATGGTTTATAATAAATAAATAAATGAAATAATGGATCTGAAAATGCCATAAAAGACAGAAAATAAACTATGTAGCTAAATATATTTTGATAATTTAGAAACAAATAGGATTACAAAAGGTCTATATGAAAGATTCTTCCTACCAAATCAGTTATGAAGTTCTACAGACCCAAAGCATCATATCTGACCTAGGAATCTAACGATTAAAATCCTTCCATGTAGCTTCATCAAGGCAGAACCATTTCCATGAAGAGCTCTTACCCATTCAGAGATTTCATGTCAAAACTCATGGCTTACCTGTACTTACTGAAAATGAAAACTGATTACTGGGACTAGTGTAGGTTACTTTCATGTTGATAATATAGTATGAAATAAAAATATTAACGAGGCATCTTCATTGATGTAAGCATGCACATTGAACTTCCCAATTGTGAGTAGGAAATATTACCAGTTCTTGGTGAAGGTGCCCTTGCTATTTCTAAAGAGCAAGGTTTCTTTGTCACGGCTGTGTCCATGAGGTCACAGAGAAAGTTCTCATTTTCTGAAGGAAATGTGTCCAGAGTAGCAGGTGGTACGATTTCCATAGTGTAATTTCTCTTCTTTGGATAAGATTCCTGAAAAGAAGAAAAAAAGTTTTGCAATAAAGATACAGCCTATTCTGATTTATAAAAATTAGGGGCTGGAGAGATGGCTCAGCGGTTAAGAGCACTGACTGCTTTTGCAGAGGACCCGGGTTCGATTCTCAGCACCCACATGGCGGCTGGGAACCATCCTTAACTCCAGTTCCAGGGGAATCCAAAGCCCTCTTCTGACCTCCGCGGCATTGCACGACACGGGTGCACTCACTTACATACAGGCAATACACTCATACACATAAAAATAATAAATAAAATATTTTAAAAATAGAAAAGATAATTGTATTCATCAGTTATTATAAAGTTGACTGTGAAGTGATGAGTCATCTGTCTGAATAAGTCCTACAACCTTGTAATCCCAGGATGGCCAATAACATTCTCAGAAACGTTCTTATAATTTGATTTCCCTGAATTTACACTAAGCCACTAAAAGTCTTGATTTTTTGTAATGTAGATCTTCTTACATCATCTTCATAATGGTTTAATCATGGAATAAACCATTTCAGTCAGCATTTATTTCTAAGACTGCTCTTGCCTACATCCTAGAGATGCCATAGAACTCAACTTTGGCTAGTTAGCTACAAGTAGAAGTGTGCTGGAAGGCCTCTGGAAAGATGTTTGCCTAGAAAAGATTATGAGGAGGCATTTTTTCAGAGCAGAGGCTATCCCCAGCCTCCTCTCTGAGAAGTTTTTTTTTTTTTTTCCTATATGGCAATAAGCTCAAGAACACAAAGGTGATAAGCCAAGAATTGCAATGTCAAGATAAAAAGGGCCCAGTATTCTGAGGCTATCACTGCACTCCTCGAATAGACTCACGACCAGTTTCTTTGGACTTCTTAAGTAAATACTAACATTCTTAGAGTTTAGGTGATAGCTATTTGAGTTTCTCTCACTTAGAATTATAAGCATCACCCTCCAAAACATTAGTAATTTTCAATTAATTTTATAACATCTTAATGCTTTTTATGCATGACATATTAATTGCTTACCAAGTATTTGATGGACTT